GAGAGCTGATGTGGATAGGGGAAAAAGAGGAGATTTTAGAATCATGAACTACTTAGCTATCAATACCTGCCTGTAATTGGATTCATGGAGGCGCCACTGGAATATGGCTGCTGTATAACCGAAGTCTTTGCCTCTTGGTAGCTCTGAACTGGCTCATCCTATTTTACCATGTGGTCTTACTGGCCATTAAGAAGCAAAAAAATCCCTGTGTCTCAGACTATGAGAATTTAGCTGGTGGTGGCAACCTTCAGTGGCTGCTGGTAAGATAATACAGGAGATACTCCCACATGCCTATTTTTGTCTCCTAAGATAATAGGAAGTATAATATTGGCTTTTTTTAAATTCTTCCCTTGTATTTTTTCTGCATGGCTTATAGGGCTGCCCAGTAGACTTCTCTTGGACTTTTGTATATGGGAGACCTCCATTACTAAGGTCCCATATAGGTTTACTTCTTTTTTATTTGTTGCACATATAGCATCATCAGTTTTCATGATGCTTTTCAAAATAAAGTTAGCTAAAACAAGTTCTTGCCTGGAGGAGCTTACAGTCTGACTTTAGAGCAGGGGTGGGGGAAGGTGCTTCTGTTTACCTTTTGCCCTTCTGGAAAAATAATCTCTCATATATATGTGTGTGTGTGTGTGTGTGTCTATATGTGCTGATTTGTCTGGGACACTCAGTTTCCCAAGTAACTGGACATACAGAAAAACTCCATGGTTTGAGTCTCTGTGGACCAGAAGGCCTGGGTTTTTGTTTTGGGTTTTTTTGCTATTATTCTTTGCTGCATGGCCCATTGATGTGGAGACCCCATGAGCATTTGGGGTAGTACCCAAGGAAGGTCTGCCATAGCCAGCCGTGTCTGAGGACAGTGCAGCAGCAGGGATAGAATTTGTGTGGAAGCGGAGGAAATGCCTTTTCCTCATTTCTAAAGCTCAGTGAAACAGAGCTAGGCATGCCCTGAATTTCATCAGTAATCTAAAGGACAGATGGTAACATTTAGGACCATATGTAGAATGTCCAGAAGATCAGGATTTCCTATGGGGACCATTTGCTATATTCTACTCTAGCCAGGAGGAATCTGGCCATTAATCTCTGGCCAAATCTAGAATTTTGGCACCTTTGTTATTTAGGGCATAGAAAGGGAATAATGTTTCCTATGTTCCAGATGTATGGCTGATTTTTCCCCCATTTTTATTTTAATAAAATACATCAATGAAAATCACTCTGTGATTGCATGGGTATTTTTTCCCCCATGCAGAAAAGAATTTGGCAGATACAGATTCAAGAAACTACTGACTAACAAGTACTGTTGGGGGAAGGGGAGAGAGAGAAGATTTTCCTATATCTGCTACAGACAGGAGTGCTCAAGAAAATTGTGTGTGCGCAAGTTCAAGAGTGGTTAATGGTCTCATCAAAGTAGGGTGGGGGACAATCCTCTTGCATGAAAAACAGTCTGTGATGGAAAACAGTCCCTTTCCCGCCTTATCCGCCAATTCCCTTTTCACCCTGTTGGTACAGTGGAGAAGCCAAAAACAAGCAGTCAGGGCCCTTGGAAGCCTCAGAGGGAGAAGGGTTGGGATGTTGGTGGGGAAAATGAGCCTTTTACTGTCATTCTCCTCAGACAGAGTCTGGACCTTCTGACAAGGCAGGTTAGAAGTGGCCTTACCTCATAGTTCTGTCTTCAGGAAGAAACAGACTGGGCCTCATGTGGGGAGCCTGGAGAGGCACAAACTGATTTATCAGTTCTCACACTCAGTATTCCTGGATGGAGGGGATCTAAGGGGCAGACTAACGTCTGCATGGTAGTAGCTCCAGAAATCTTGAACTAGGTTGGGAAAACAGAGAGAAATTTGTCTGTTCTACCCTCATAAGATAGACTGGTAGTTTCTGGCTGACTTTTTTGTCTCTAGAGCAATTTATCCATTAGTTACACTGTCTCTCCAAGTTGTGTCTTTCCAATATTTGCAATTGTGTTCAGTTTATACCTGAACACCAACCCCTTACTTTCCCATATGGGAAAATAAAGTTTTGTTTCTGTTTATGCCCGGACTCTTCCTTGGTACATATGAGCAGACAAGGTTAAAATGGGTTAAATAGCAGGACAGAGAAGAAGGCAAGAAGGCATGCCAGAGGCAGGTGTAATCAGAATCAGTTATTTACCTCACAGGTCACTAACATCCAGTAAATTACCCAACACTAACAGGCCAGTTTATAATCAAATCTTTGGCCTCTCTGTGTTGTGTAAGTTTGCCTGGTGATGGAGCAGAGTGGCGTGGGGGTTAGTCCTGTAAGATTCACAATGAAACACACTACCAGTTAGTGGACAGTGGTGTTTGACTAAATATGAGTTCATTCTGCCAAAACAGAAAAGGCCTCAGGGTCATACTCTTTCACCCCCTCCCCATCATTATAGCAGATATAACAAGACCCACACAAACCCATGCCAAGCGCAGAATGTCACACAACACATATATTTCTCTGCTGTGACTCTCCTCTTTCCAGCTTGGTGATGGAGTGTTCAGAGGAAAGTTATTTATGGGGTTCTTGGGTTCTTGGCTGCTTCATTTACCTCTTTGTTTTGGATTCTGTATCTTTATCATCATAGTCACCTCCAAATCTCATATCTGTTGGCTCTCAGCTGTATTACTTTCCCGAGCTGAAAGATAGAGCCCCTCAGGCTGGACTTCCCAGCCGCAGAGTCCCATAGTGGCTGATGAACTCATAAGACCGGGTGCACATGGCAGCAATCCCTCCCAATGTCTGAGCAATGGATCTGCTGTGACAGCAGCTGTACCTCAGGGACAGCTGGGGAAGTGTGAGCCCTTCTCTTTATTTTTCATGTTGCTTCAAATGCACAGAGTACTACTAGTGGATCTTTTACTCATTTAGAGCAGGGTCTTGAACAACTATGTAGTCAACAGTGGTGGCAATAACTGGATTGTCATTGTCCTTGTGAAATTTGTGAGTCAAGCTGTACTGTCCATATGCATCAATTAACACAATGTGGTAGTCATTTTTGTTTTGTTTTGCAGCATAACCCACCCCATCCTAATTTCTGATTTCCTGACTGACAGGGAATATTCTTTAGGTCGCTTGCTTTTCATTTTGTCTCTTTGATTTTGGACTCTGTCCTTAATCTTCCCAGAACAGAGCACATCTCTCCAAATCCCATCTCTGTGGAGCCTGTGTCCTATTTTCTGAATGCTTGCTTGAAGGTGAAACTGTTAATGTCAGATGAAGCATTTTCTAAGAATATTCCTTGTTAGGAGAACATTTCTAGAAAGTTTTATTTGTGATGGCTTTCCACTGTATGGAACATACACATTCACCTGTATAGTCATCCTATGCATTATTATCAGAAAGAGACAAGGATTGGTAAACTACAATTGGTAAGCTATGCATTATTATCAGAAAGAGACAAGGATTGGTAAGCTACAATTAGTCAAAATAATGGCAACAATGTGAAATACATCAGTTCAGGTTTCTGATGGATTTTTCTTTTGGAATATCCCAAACAGAATGAGCTTTTGCAGTAAAGATGTGTTTTTATGGTTGTGAAAGAATGGACTCCTGTTCCCTCTGGTTGGTTCTGGGAGGTTGGCCCCGGCCCCCGCCATCCCTAGTGTCCTTTTGGTGACACTGCCCCTACCCCTCACACTCCAGGGGTGTCACAAACAAACTGGTATCCACTTCCTACCGCCAAAGACCCTGAGAGTATCTTCTGCTAAATGGTGTCATACGTCTAACACAGCACTGCCATTTAAAGGCTGCGCCGGGTTGCTTCACCCACATGCTTTGCTCCACAAGCTACCATGGGGGTGATCTACAACTCTGCACATTCAAGCTGTCGTGCTCCAGGAATGCAGTTGGAGAAGGGAGGAAAGGACAATCCATTCAGCTGTCCATTAAGTGGTGATATGATCAACACATAAATATCAGATGGAATTGAGAAACCAACTAGCCACTTTACTCAAGATTCAAATTATACACTCCATTAATCTGTAAAGTGAGATATTTAAAGCTGAAATATTTATTAGCCCATCATTAATCTACCATGGTATGCTCCTTGTTGTTGACATGATGTGTTGAACTACAGTCAGAAAAGGCAAGGGTAAGCATAATTGTAGATTGTGACAGTTTTCAGAAAAGAAGGACTGAATGGATGTCTTTTGTTATTCAGAGGCAGGCTTTGCTCACGTTCCATTCTTCCTGCCTTCCCATTTAACTTGGGACAATTTCTAAAATTAACTTCAGAACCGGCACTTGCACAGTTAGGTGTAATTTTTAAGAAGAAGTCTTTGCTACTTATTCTGACTAGTTTTCAGTGTGCATGACTGTGCATGTGCACTCATTATACAATATGAAAAAGAATCCTAATGCAATCCTGCAGTTTTTGTAAAGATCTCCCCCCCCCCAATGTTTTAATCCATGCATGTCGAGAGCCAGTAACAGGGAAAAAAAACACATGAACTAAAAATTGCTGCAGTCTGCATATGTGTGGTGGTTTGGGAAATTCAAAAAGGAAGAATGATCTCTGTTCACTAATGCAAGGGGACTGCTCTTCAGACTAGCAGTTCAGAGTCTCAAAGTAGTGGGAGAGTTTAATAATTATCTACAGAATGTTCCATATCCAGTCTTTTGAAAGCTTAAAACATATGTGCAGTGGATAAAATTTCCAGAATAAACAGGGCATAAAGCATCCAGCTTTACAAAATAGCAATAAGAAATGTATGTCCATAGTAAGGGTTGAAAAGAAATTCCTCCAAAGAGGAGGAGATGGTGATGATGATGATGTGGGAGTACAAAAAAGTTAGTTTCTTTTAAATAAAAGTTCTTGGTCAGTGCTGGAGTCAAACACTGCTTTACCTTGTTTTGTTCCCATGTCCCAAAGCTTTCTATCCCATCTGGAGCATCACGGTCTTCCCTGGTGCTGTTGCATTGTCAAAGGACTCTTGTGTCATAATTTTTGGGGCCTGATTCTAATAAAGATTTCCCTCCCTCAGGTCCAGGCCAATGTAGAGAAATCCTTGGCCCTGTTTGGCCAGCTCTTGAACAAAAAACACTTCCTTCTGACCTTCATTCGCACCCTCGAGGCCCAGCGCAGCTTCTCCATGCGGGACCGGGGTAATGTGGCCTCCTTAATCATGACAGCGCTACAAGGTGAGATGGAGTATGCCACTGGGGTGCTCAAGCAGCTTCTTTCAGACCTGATTGAGAAGAACTTGGAGAGCAAGAACCATCCAAAATTACTCTTGAGGCGGTGAGTAGTCATTGAAGTACTTGTTAATCAAAGCACTTATATGAAGCTTCAGCAAGGGCCGCTTTGGATGTTACACAGAAGTGGGTGGAGAGGAAATGTATATGATTCATACCTTCCCCTTTTCGGCTTCTTGCATAATGTTTGAAGTGGGATGTGTGAGCTTATATTGTACACTCCTGGTGTTTTAAATGTCTCCACGCTTAAGGTTATCACTGTAATATACAGCACAGAAACAGCCATCATTTGTGCGCTGTGGAGACATTTAAATGAGTTCAGGAGACAGAGAAGGAAGAGTACTTTTTCTGCTCCAAGGAAGTCCCAAACAGCTTGATCATATTCATGGACCTAAGGTTCTGTGAGCTGAACATACAAACACGGAAGTTATTGAGAATATTGAAAGAAAAGGTTTGTTTATGTATATAGATATTTACATCTTGCTTTTCTTGCTAATGGAGATCCAAAGCAGCATACAGCATTGTTTTCACCTCCATTTTGTCCTTATAACAACACCAACCCTATTGTCCTAGGTTAGGTCAAGACAGAGGTCATTCAACTAGCTTCCATGTCAGAACGGGGATTTGAACCTGGGTCTCCTATATCCTAGTCTAACTGTCTAACCATTACACTGTGTTGACTTACAGTAGCTGTTAAGCTTAAAAGATAGGGTTACAAACAGGGCTAATGAACAGGAACGAAGTTCCGGCTGGCTCCTGAGTTGGCCACACCCAGCAGGAACTCATTAGCATAATAGGCCACACCCAGCAGCAGAAACTCATTAGGATTGGCTACATTAGAGGTGTGTGGCCTAACATGCAAAGGAGTTCCTGCTACAAAAGAAAGCCCTGGGTTTTGACAACAAACAAGGTAAAGAGAATAAGGAGCAAAAGGTGGGTGTGGCTGGATGACCACACTTCTGGTAACATGGGTTTGTGGCCTAATATGCTAATGAGCTGTGCTGTCAGGGGTGTGGCCTAATATGCTAATGCGTTTCTGCTGTTGGGTGTGGCCTGTTATGCTAATGAGTTCCTGCTGGGCTTTTTCTACAAAAAAAACCCTGGTTACAAATATGAGCACTAAGAAGCAGACGTGGCTCTCTGCCCTAAAGAATTTCTTATGTGTAATCTTTTAAATTAATCAGATCCCAAACAACAGGGGAACCGGCTCCTGCTTTGTGGAGCAGATTGACACTAAGAAGTAGTTGGTTGTTTTAGAACTCATTGGATATCAAGGGTTTGTTCATAAGCCTGGAAGAGACCACCCAGCGTGTGCTGGTATATGAAGGCTAGAAAAAGCAGCTATTTACTGTGCTACCCTAAGCAGATTTATGCCCTTCGAAGTCTGTTGAAGTCAGTGGGCTTAGAAGAATTTTAGGATGGCATTGTTAGTTAAGCAAGACTTCATATTATTAAGATTCATGTGTAGGTTTGTGCCCACATTTATCACTGTGGCCATAGCCACATCCACTCATACCAGTAGTAGCAGCCTTCTATAATTGTTGCTAGTAGCCACTGGTCCTTACCCCAGTATACTTGCATATCCGCCAGCAGTCTGATTGGCCAGCAAATACCATGCAGAAGCTCCTGAACAGGCCCAGAGCTGATCATGGCAAACTCTTCCATTCCGTATACGAAACAGCCCTGTGCCATTTGATGCTCCTTAAACAGCGTTTGCATCCGTTATCCTGGAAGCTCGTTACTTTGAATGTCCAGAGGAAGTAGGACTCCAGTTCTTCTCCCACAGGTCCAAAAAGACACATCCCTCTTTCCACACAGTTAATGCATTTGGCTTTTCCTTCCTTTGTCATTCTTTTTCCAATCGTTTCTTCAAGATGGGTTCATATATCCCATTGGGTGACTGTTGAGAAGCTTTACTGCAAAACCAAAGCAGAGTTTCATAAGCCAAGAGAACACAGGTGGGGAAAGGGTGTGAGCCGGGTGGTCTTACAGCTCTGCCCTGCATCTCTTCTGCTCTATCAGTTTTTCAATGACGGCTAGACAGGTCTCTATCACAGGACAACGAATATTGAAAGATTCGCCATCTGCAGAACAAGAGCAGTAATTAAACTTACACCATAGTCTCCATTGTCATGCCTCTCCTTCCTTGCCCTTTAACAGTCCAGTCCATGTAAATGTATCCTGAATCCTTTGAACGCTCATATGTTTTCAATATGACTGCATTAAGCAAATGTATTTAAGCTCTCTTGTTACAGCCTGAGAACATTGTGAAACAAAAGATGCAGAGCAAGATAATCTACAAATATAAATAAAAGACTAAATGAGCACTGACTTAAAGCTATTTCAAGCTTTACGTAACAGTCGTGTCTGCTGTGTGTACACCTCTGTAACCATACACTGGATGTGCTCCAGGGAGACATGACCAGTTGTGGCTCCTCTGCACATATCCATGCATATTCCTAAGTGTTTGGAGATTTGCATATCTCCTTTACATATATCCAGCCAAGCAAACACTGATATACATGTGACAGCTGCCATCTACAGTGTGAATTGACCCTTAGAGAGTATCACAATAACCCTATTAGCTGAGTAGGGGCAGCAGTGTGAGACTGCTAAGCACTTCTGGGGGCCCTAATTGTGGTGATTAGAACTCTTGCGCATGGAGAAGAGTCACAATATATATTAGTATGATGTGCTGGGGAGAGTGCTCTCCCATGCCGTTTTCCTGACTGAATATTCCCCTGGAACAGACAGCTTTGAGCCCTGGAAGGGAAAAAGAGGTGCTCATCTTTTCCCCCTCTTGGAGCTTAAGGCAGTTGGGAGAGGTACCTTTTCAGTCAGGGAAATGGTATGGGGAAGCTGTCCCCCTCCTCAGTGCCATGATACTGATTCCATTTCCCCCACAGTCTTATATTAATACCGGATAACACACTGGGAGTTGCATAAAATTCCACATGAAGTATCACTATGATTTGAGACTGAGTGCAAACTGTACAAAAGCGTAGGAAAGGCTGAAAACTGCATGTGACCCAGCTGTTTTGGAGAGGGGACAATGTTAATGCAGCCTGTCTTAGAGAGGCTTTGGCTTTATGGCAGCCCCGAGTTGAGGTTTTCGTTTGTGTCCAGTTGCCCCATAGGTTATGACCCAGGACTTGAGTTTCCTCCCTTTGCACATCTACAAGAAGGATGAATTCTAGGGGCCTCCCTCCTTTTTGCCCTTTCTGTAGGTCAAAGGATGTCTCTACATCAAGCATAACAGGCTTAACATTAATCTGTTAGGTGAAATCTGTTATTTATGTATTGTAAAATGTAATCCCCTGTGGCATCTGGACATAACGCAGATAAATGCAAACATCCGTTTGTAGCCATGACTGCAGAGCAGCCTCTCCAGAGATGTTCCAGGATCTGCCCTGAATACTACTGAATTTGTTCAAAACCAAGTTGCACATAAAATAGTCCTCAGTTTGGAATTTACAAACTAGCTGGCCTTTTGCAGTCCCATTTTTTTCCATTTAAGGCCTCCATTGTTTTCTCCACAGTTTCTTTCCCATATTTTCAATATTTTTTATCTTATGTTGAATGCAGTCTGTCTTTCTTTACTCTGTGGCAGGGCTGGAGGTCAGAAGGAGGGGTGGGCAGCATCTTTTTTTGATGTGTGTGTCTTTAGCAGCTTACTGTACTTTTACAAATTTTCTGTATACCCATAGCAGTGCTAGATGCAGTATTGAACCTAGTTGTGTTCTGAGTCATGAAACATTTCTTGTCAACTTGGCATAGCTAAAAAAAAATTCTGTCCTCATCCCAATATGGCAACCAATTATGTGGTTTTACAAGAATGAGATTTCCGTTCCCTGCAAGTGTTCACAGGTTGCTTGGTTGTACGTATGCTAAACTTGCTAAACTTGGAATGCTGCTGGAAAGGTAGCATGGCTCTTGAGGAGAAGTTTCTGTTTTATCTTGGGACCTTTGACTAGGGTTGCCAGTTCTGGGTTGGCAAATACCTGGAGAATCTGGAGGTGGAGCCCGGGGAGGGCGGAGTTTGGGGAGGGGAGGGGACCTCAGCAGGTTATAATGCCATAGAGTCCACACTCCAAAGTAGCCATTTTCTCCAAGGGACTGATCTTGGTTATCTAGAATCCACTTGTAATAGCAGGAGATCTCCAGGTGCCACCTGGAGATTGGTGGCCCTACCTTTAAAAGGAAGAATAGAAACTTTTAATTATTTAGTTATTCATTTGAAATATATGAAGTGTCCTGTACTTGGGGGGAGGGCCACAGAGTGCTTTAGAGCCCACTCTTCCACAGAGATGGTGCCAGGTTCAGTGACTCCAGGTAAGGATTCTCACTCAAAAAGAAGTACTGAAGCCTAGAGTGTGCTTCTCTATATAGTTTAACTCAATATAAGTTCATTGTGTTGAGAGTTCAGCATCTTCTTATTGGTTTAGCCCAGGTCCACGCACTTTGTAACACCCCAGCCCACCAAAGCCTGTAATCCCAGGAGGTTTGCTGTCTAAAGGACTGCGTTTGGCTTCTTCGTCATGCATAGTACAGGCCTGTTCAGGCAAAGAAGAAGAGGAAAGAGGAATGCAGAGTTTCACATGCCTAGATTATTGGGCTTCCTTTCACAGACAAGGGTTTGCTCTTCTAGAGGAGCAAAGTTAGGGGTGCTTCTCTATTTAAACAAAGCAGAAGGTGGGAGCAGACAGGAATGCAATTTGAGCAGACTGTGTCAACAGTAAGTACATAAGTTGGTCTTTTGCTGTCAATAGCCTGCGATAATTAATTGTTCCCTTCCCATCCTTCCTGCCTGACACGCCTCTTTTGTTTTGTGACTTTGTTCAAAAACTGTGCAGCTCTTAGAACTGAAGGCTGGTATTTTGATTGTTTTGGTTATGTTATTTCCGGTATTGCCTCACTCTCTCAGCTTCCTTCTTGCAGTAGGGAGGTACTTACTTTCTTGAGGTCATTAACAGTGCTTGTGCTTTTGTGAGTATTTGAATATGAAATAGCTGATCTGATGATTAATAAATGGAGCAGCCAAAAAAAAAGTCAAGAATTTCAATCAGAGGCACCTGGAAATTCCCCCCCTCCCCCATTTCAGGGAATAAATGTGCATAGTTTTAAATGTTATTTATCAATGTGTTAAGGTGAAGTAGGTGCAAGTGTTTATTATAGGCAATCAGTGTAGACTCTTTCCATACCGGGCTTATCAACCCTGCAGTTTTTACTTTATCCTGCAATTATCTACTCTTCAGTTCTGCTTTGCCCTTGTCCTCATATTTCTTTGTGCCCCTGTTTCTGAACTTCTCTTGCCCAGGAGGGATACAGTCTTCTGATGGGATTTTTATGGTGTTAACAAATTTGTCAGGAAACTACTTGAAATGTTCTCCCTGCTGTCCCAGAACATCTGCCATGTGATCCACTTCAAACTTTCTTTCTTGATGGCAGTCTCACGGACAAAAAGAGATGCAGTCAACCCACTTGCCATATAATGGCAGTGCCAAGAAGGTTAACCTGTGATTAAGTGCAATGACTAAAGTACACAAAGAGAAATACTTGGTAGTATATATGCATATATTGCTATTTTATTCCAAATATTGTATGGTCTTTATGAGTACAATGTTCCCTATGACATTTCAGTGGACCACTGATATGAAAATGTGTTTCATTATAAGACCTTAATAATAAATATCCCCAGGAGCATATGTTGATATCTTGATGTATGATTTCCTTTTTGTTATTTTAAGAGGCCACTCTGCCTTCTACAAGGACACGGGGAAGTTGCCATTGGTCTAAATATTGTTAAGTTTTATTTATGCCTTGGATGTCAGAGAATGTTCATGTTGATCCTCACTCATTGATCCATTTGACCTAGTCCCATACTCAGAGCGAGAGAAAGAGAGAGCGAGAGAGAGAGAGTGTAAAGAACTCTTCTCTACATACCTGTATCTAATTAAGGGAGCATGTTAAGTTGTGGTGTACTGATGGTGCATAGTTAGCATAGATGCTAACTGGGAAACAAAGTATAGTAAACCAAGGCTGTCATATGAGCTCAGATGTAATAACATATGGATTCTTTGTACCATTCTATGCTCCCTACAGAAGAGAAGGACACTGAGAGATTTCTTTATAGCTGTAATACATGTCATGAGCATTCTGAGACTGTTTCATAGTTTTCCTTTGCCTTTTGTCCAGTCTGGATACTCTGTAGTCAATGTAGACATCATAGTGGTCAGTGTAGACATCATACCACCATATGTAATGTTCTAAGTACCTTCTGCCTTCTCGAAGAATAGAATTAACAACATGATACATTGTGTATGGTCATAATGTAAGACTTTGGGTTGTTCACAAATCTACAGGATAATTTTGTATTTGTTCCAGAGTTTGGTTGCATTCTCCACCACTACTGTGCTTTTTTTTTTTCCTCTTTAAAAAGTTAACTGAAGAGAATTTGCTGGGAAGTTTACTTAGTAAAAATGAGGATTCTTGCAGTGGCCTGAGGAGAACTCATTAGAAATGGGTAACAGGAACGAAAGAGACAATAGTTGTACCCCTGAGCCAGAAGAATCTTCCCTGGAGCCCTCTCCAGTACTGTTATACTACCCTGGAGATTTGCTGATGGGTATAGGATGAACTCTACAGCTCCGTTTGTATGGCTGTGATTTGCAGGAGACCAGGGTAAACGCTAATGAGTTGTGTTGGGCAAAGCAGGATTCTCTGTAGCCAGAACTATCTTTAGATTTTTGTCATGGTAACCCCCCAGTGTTCTGGCCACCCTTCTCTTTGCTTTCAGATTTCTGCCTTTCAAGATCTGACCTTTAAATCTTTTAAGAGAAATAGCAAAAAAAGATCTGAGATGTTGAGACATGATCAGAGGGTTCTGATTTTTCCCATTATCACACTTACTCTCTGCTTCCCCTGCAGGACGGAGTCAGTGGCTGAGAAAATGCTGACAAACTGGTTCACATTCCTTCTGTACAAGTTCTTAAAGGTAAGAGAACGTTTTGCTACCCACATGGAATGGGGCTGCGGAAAAGATCTTTGGGCCTCCCACATCAATGGAACAGCTTCCTTGTTAGATGTAGGCAGTATGCTAAGCTGAAACATTGCACTGGGAATCAGGGAACTTGAGCATCAAACTAGACATGTCCCTGTTTGTCTAATAACAGTTACAGTGCTGGGGGGGGGGGGGGAGGGAAGGGGGGGGACGAAAGTTTTCAATGACCATTCTAATAGTTCTGGATTCCAGTAAAATCAAGAGTTCCAGGCATTTTCTGCTTGGCAAAAACCTAAATCAGAGAATTTTTGTGATTTAAGACCCGCTGTAAGGTACAGTGCAACCCACCCTGTGGCTTCTTCAATCATTCTTTTTACCTTCATAATACAGCGGGTTGGTGCACAGATAAGGGTTTCTTGGAACTTGCTGTGATCCTGCCTGTTTATTGAGTAGATTTTTATCCCACCCTTCCTCCAGGGAGCTCATGGCAACAAACTCCTTTTTATCCTCACAGTAGCTCTCTGAGGTAAGTTGGGCTGAGAGAATGACTAGACGAAGGTCACACAGTGAACTTCAAGGTAGTGTAGAGATTTCAGCTTGGTCTGCTGGATCCTGATCTGACACTCTGTCTACAACGCACGATGTCCCTTTATCACACGTAGTGACTATCACAGTTTTATCCTGCTCTTCCTCAGAGGAACTTAGGGCACACAAGGGTCTCCTCTGTTTTTATCCTCACAACTCTGTGAGGTCAGTTGGGCTTAGAGAGAGAGCGTGTCTGGCCTGAAGTCACCCGGTGAGTTTCAGCAGAGATTTGAACCTGGATCTTTAGCATTGCCGTCCGGTACTGCAACTACTACACCACACCAGCTCATCCTACCTCACATTATTTTAAAGCCATAATCCACCATGTGAGCCACTGACAGAAATATGCTGTCGGACTGGGGAGGGAGCTGCAGAAAGATTCTTGAGCAGCAGAGACCACAAAAGTACAACAGCAACTTCCAGAGGAAAGAACCCCAGGAGACAGTCTGTACTGCAGACTGAATGGCTGTAAAGTGGAATACTTTCCCGGGATCTCCGTGTAGTGTTGAAAGTTATGCACGGGTGTCTTCCCCCGCCCTCAGATATTGCGAGGCACTATGTGCCTTATTAGTATGTAATTCCATTAGTCTAATTTTCCCTACCAAAAAAAAGAAAGGATTGGCTATGAACAACGTAGACAGAATCCACTACCTAGCCTGGAGCCAAAAGCTGCTGCACCACTGCTGAACTGAGACTGCAGTCTGACGGCATGGCTGTCGCCCGTGTGCCAGAAGAGCTGTAGTTTGCTGCCCGCTACAGAAGAAAACAACCTGTGGCAGTTGCAGAGCGGCGGCTGTTTGTCAGGCCAAGTGATGCCTCCCCAGGATCTCGCTCGGCTTTTTACTCAGTGCATTGCGGTGGCGCAGAGCTGTTTTTATGGGATACCATCCCTCGTTAAGATAAAGAAAGTTTGAATCAATTCCAGGGAAGCTGAAAGCTATGCAGACCGCAAGTGATCACCAACGAGACGTGATTTATGGTATCGCTTACATGCACTTGGCTCTCTGCCTCTGTCTAGGGATGGCCCTATCTATAAAAATATATCAGTACTGTAGAATGTATGTCACTTTGCAAAGATGTAAGAAAGAACGGTGCTTTGCTGTTGTTTAATTTAAAGGGGGTGGGGTTTTTTTAAAAGCTCAACAGTTTAACCGATAAATTATTCCACTGTGCTTAAGTTGGCATTCTGCACTGCGATGTTTGATTTGCTTCGTTCTGGCCACCCCCGTTGCATTGCCGTGGGACTGGGCAGGGGCTCGGTGAGAGAGCAGCACAGGAGAGCCATTATGGTGAGCCTCTGTAGCAGGAGATTTTGCTGGAAGTAGGAATGGAAAGGGAAGGAACTCATTTCTAGTATGCTGGTGCTGCCATGGGCACTCTGCCATGGAAATTGACAAGGAAGGGGGCTGAAGAAAGATTCTCAAGCGGTGGAGACCTCAGTGACCTCATGCTAGCAGACTCCAAGGTGGATGCTCTGGCAAGCTTTGATGGGTTTTAGCCCCATCCTGACTCTTGTAAAACAAGGGTTCTGTGGCCCAAAGAAAATGTCTGCAGTCGTTCTGTCACAGCTTCCAGTTCTGTAACACCGGTTACTCTGGATCAGCAATGCACCCCTGTCCAGTATTTAACCACAAGATTCAGGCAAGGGCACTCACATTTTGGAGAATGTGATTATGTGTGGTCTGGAAATATGCCTCAAGCTGTGCGTGGGAGGCAGCAGGAGCCCGTCTGTAGAGAACTCTCTTTCAAAAATAATCCCCATGCATTGAACTCCTGAAATAGAAAAACTGCATTCCAAGCTGGATAAAGGAAGGATTGACTTCATGCTGCTGGGATTTGGCACAGTTGTCGCCACCCAAATCAACCCTAGTGGCTCCATCAAATCCCCATTCCTGTGTGACCCGTGGGAGAGGTGTGTCCCTCTTTGTCTTCACTGCCAATGCCAACCTCAGTGGGATGATTCCCCTAGCCCATTCACACTTTATGCAGCAGGAACTGTTGATGCACATGTACTGCTGTTTGCTAGGGTGTACACTATAAAACATGAACAGGAGATACATGTGTAAATGTGTTGAGTAGGGATGCAGTGTGCTGAGGAGCCACTGGCTGTGGATCAGCCTTAAGGGGTGTCTTGGGGAGCAGCAGGTTCACATTGGTGAACATAATGCTAGGCAGCCTTCTATGCCTTCCTGCTCCCCACCTCCAGAATGAGAAAGGAACTGTGTTACTTATGGGAAGTCCAAAAAATGCATTCTGCAAAAAAGTGCGGATTTCAGGTGGCTGCAAGTTAACGAGATACCAAATCTTTTCATTTTTCCTCTACTACACACAAGCTCTCATAGCCAGGCATTGTTCCTTATGCTTAAAGCCCAGAACAGCATAGGGCCATGCCTGATGTGCCACTCAAGACTCTGCAGGCTAAAGGGAGCATTTAGCAGTGTACTGTTCAGAGGGAGGTGAAAGACACACCTGGCCTCACTCAAGGCACCATGGCCCACCGTGTTGCTGCTAGGCTGCTGATCCTGCAAACTATCACCTAAGGTGAGGTAGAAGCAGAGCCTTTTCGGTGGCTTTCATTTTGCCTGGAGTGGCAGCCATCCTGGCAATGAGTTATATTGGACAGAAAGGGGCAAGATAGTGAGTTTGGTGTGAAGGGGTATGTGTGTGAAAGAGAAGGCGACCCCATTTTACCTACAGAGCAGTGACTAAGGCAGCGGTGAATTGCAGATTTTGAGATATAAGAGGAGGAGCTGCGTCCACTGCCTTTGCCAGGCGATGGAATATCCTGCCAGTGTATTAAAGAGAACAGGGGCCTCCATAATCTCTCTTCATTTCTCCAACTGGCTTGAGGGAGATGAGGCTTGCAAGTGCATGCGAAATCAGTAGTACTCAGGATGCTTGGAATGGGCTCTGCAACAAGTGGTTTGCCAGCAGGGGAGCATATGTCCCCCCCCCCCCAAGTACTAGCAAATGTGCATGTAAATGAGGCAGGTGAATTTGCCTGCATTTTCCAATCAGACAGCTATTAGTGGTTGTTTCCCCCGTGAGAAGATGCATCCTCAGAGGGCCGCAGCAGTGCAGGGGTTTGGGTTTGTGTCCGTGCACGAGCATGAGTTGCTAATGTCCACAACAAAAGAAAGGGAGAGTCTGCAGCCTGCTGCCCTTCCTCCCCAAGGAATTGTTTCTAGGAGCACCTCTGCCTTGCAACTCTGGAGGATGCCCCTGATAGTCCCACATCTATGCAGCTGCCAGATACCCTCAGTTCTGCTTGAACGGTTTCCACAGGCGTGCTGTGTGGGGGACACAGGGGATTACTGTTAGCCCCCCCCCCCTAGCTACACAGTAGCCTCTAGAGGCACGTGAAGAATAGAAGAGAAAAGCAACCCTGCCAGTCATTTGAGCAGGGAAACTGTATATTGATCCTTAAGAACTAGATCAAATGGGTCCTCTTTTCTCCCCCTTCCTGAGTTCCTCTGATGGCAAAGTTGGGGACTGGCAAGCATCGTGGAATCATCAGGCCTTGGCAGCTCGCGGTGCTTTTGTTGAGGCCTCCAGCACCATTCATCAGCCTTCTAATGAGCCATCCCAGGGAATGGGAGAGCGAAACAGATAAAGAGGAGCATTGAAAAATGCACAATATTAGGTGCCTGATGAGCTAAATCTCATCAATAAGACACTGAGCGTTAGCTAGTTCGGCTTGTGCTGCCTCGGGCGTCCTCTCCGCATACGCACAGGCACTCACATGCAAATGCCAACATTGACACATCCCTCTGCATTCTGTAGCTTCTCTTCATCCTTTAGGAGTTTGGGAGGATGCATCCCTTGAGAACATTTTGTCATGCAGCTTTTCCACACACATGCCCATGTACTTTTCACTGACAGACTGCCCCTTCCACACTGTCAAAGAGTTTGGAAGATTATAGACAGGGGTTATCCTAAGACCAGTATCTGTCACCAACAGAGTAAAAGCCACCAGCATACTTGGGGCTGTAGAACCTTGGACAAATCATCTATCCTTTAATCTCAGCCCATAGGAGGAGATCTGCAGTACAGTGCTTTAGCCCTTGCTTTGCACTCCGAGGATCCCAGGCTCAAGACCTGCCAACACCAGTTAAAAGATCTCACAGGCAGGTCTGGAAATGGCTTCTAACCTGGTGAACTGGTGTCAGTCAGATAAGGCAATACTGGGCTGATTCTGTATGCGAGTCTCATAAATCATACAAATGGCATCAAAATTCTCTCAGAATGTTGATTTGTATAATATATTTTTTTTAATATAAAATGTATCCTGGTCTGGGGGTGGGACATGGCAATGCCATGTTTCCTCAATGGAGGGATTTGAGTCTGTGTCTCTGGACCAGTGTGAGAGTTTAGTATCCACAGCAAGAAAAAAAATAAATCAAATATCG